TTTGATGTTGTTTTTTTCATTATTGTTTATTGAAGTAATTGCTTATAACAGAAATTCTAATTTGGTCAGGTAAATCTCAATACCAACACTGATAATGTTTGTAGATTTTCATAAAAATATTTTGTATTCGCTTTTCTTCCATTTATACAAAATTAAATCAATAATCTCAATTAATTAACTAAATATAGAAAACACCGTGTCGCAAAAAATTATAGAAAGTTAGAAAGTTAAAAAAATTTCAAATATTTTGCTAAAATAAATTTAGACTCATTAGAGCTAGATATTTTTTTCTTTAATTTATTTTTCTCTCTCAAAATATCTGTTGACGATGCTAAATATATTTCTTGTTTGTTTCTATTTTCTTCCTGGCATTTTTCTTTATTTGATACTTTTTTATGTTTTACAAACATTCTAGTTTCATTTTGTGTTTCGATTGTAACTTCAACAAGCTAGGACAAAGTGAGAAATTTTTATTTTGCGAGAAAAAAATTTATATTCTGTTTAGTTTTTTTTTCTCAAATTAAGTCTAAAAAATATTAATGCAAAAATCCCACAACATTTTTTCCCAAACTACAGACACATGTTGAGAAAGACATAGACTCACAAACAAACACACGCCAACAAACATAGACCAACAAACACACCAACCAACAAACACACAGACCAACAAACACACAGACCAACAAACACACCAACCAACAAACACACAGACCAACAAACACACAGACCAACAAACACACCAACCAACAAACATAGACCAACAAACACACCAACCAACAAACACACAGACCAACAAACACACAGACCAACAAACACACCAACCAACAAACACACAGACCAACAAACACACCAACCAACAAACACACAGACCAACAAATACACCAACCAACAAACACACAGACCAACAAACACACCAACCAACAAACACACCAACCAACAAACACACTAACCAACAAACACACAGACCAACAAACACACCAACCAACAAACACACAGACCAACAAACACACCAACCAACAAACACACCAACCAACAAACACACAGACCAACAAACACACCAACCAACAAACACACCTACATATACAAGAGGGAGAGCCACGTAAATATTTTATTGCAATCTTCTTGTAATCTATTTGATCCGACGATCAGCTTTATTATATGGCTTCACTTTTACGTCCGGCCCTTCTAAACTGAATCCCCTTAAAGAGAGTGATTGAAGGAAGAGAGAAAAAGAAAGAAGGAAATGAAAAAAATGAGACTGAGAGTAAAAAAAGAGAGAAAGAGAATAGAGAGAAAGAAATAATAAAGAAAGAGAGAGAGAATCAGAAAAAATTAGATACAGAGAGAGAAATTAAAAATCAAAGCGTGAGCAAGAGTGAAAAGAATAAGAAGAGGAAGCAACCAAAACACAGAACGGAAATGACGTCATATCTTAAAGCTTCTGTGATGTCACCTCGCAAGTTTCATGGTGACGAAGAAGATGACGATGATAATGGTGATGACGACGACGACGACGATAATGTCGCCAGTGAAATTGCGAAGACGAATAATAATAATAACAACAACAACAACAATAATGATAATAATAATAACGACTGTAATATGGCAACGATAAAAATTAATAGAAAAATAACAACAGAAATGGAGAGAGAGAGAGAGAGAAAGAGAGAAAGAAGAAGAAAATAATAACGTGATGTAATGGTGGGAGGATTAGACATGCTAGATATGACTTTGTAATTGTTATGATCCGCGCATCTATTATTCACGTTGGGCTGCAAACTGGAAGGATTACATCGCAAGAACGGGATGCAAGATAGAGAGATAGACAGAGATAGAGAGAGAGAGAGAGAAAGAAAGAGAGAGAGACAGCCAGAAAGAAAGAGTTGGAGAAAGAGAGAAAGAGGAAATAAAAATAAGACAGAGAGAAAAATACAAGAAGATTGACAGTTACGGAAAAATACAGAGAGATACACAGAAACACATACAAAAAATGAAGTAAAATAAAAAAAATAGGAAGAGAAAAAAGAGTGAAAAAGAAAGAAAGAGAAAGAAAGAAAGAAAGAGAGAGAGAGAGAGAGAGAGAGAGAGAAAGAGAGAGCAATAACAGATAACATGGACAAAAATTAAGAGTGGAAGGAAGCAAGTGGGATGTAAGGGAAGAGAATATCTTAAAGATTGACTGCATGAAAAAAAAATTTAGTCAATACGAACGAAATTTAAAATAATAAAAATAAAAAGTTAAAAAGTACAATAAAAATGAAAAAAAAGACTAACAACAATCGAGGATTTTAAAATTTGAAGAGCCGTAATTAAGTTATGAACGTTACCGGCCAAATAATTCTTCCAGATTTCATTTAAATTCAATTCTTATTCCAAAAGTGCTATAAAGTTTCTACAGAAATTTTTATTTTTGACTATTTCTTTTGGAATTCACACAAAAATATTATTTTGAAATGTTTTTCAAAAGAAAGATAGAGAGAATAAGAAAGAGAGAGAGAGAGAGAGAGAGAGAGAGAGAGAGAGAGAGAGAGAGAAAGAGAGAGGAATTTTTATTTAAACTCCGAAAATAATAATTTGACGTTTGTTTAAAACAGATAACATAATATGCATCTCTGAGATACGGGCATCCATTTTTCATGAAGAACGTGATTTATGCCATATGTCATTTTCAACTAAAAAATTTCAAATATTTTTAAATTCCAATCCAATTCAAAACTACAGAATGTCAAATTTTATTAAAAATTCGTCGGAGAAATGCTATTCATCAAATAACGCAGATGTTTCACATTGAAACATTCATTTGCGTACAGAAAAACCGACATTGCCAGCAACTTTTTCCCATCAAGAAAAAGTATTTAAATAATTTTTCCAATAGTTTTCTTATTGCAAGATTCGTAACTCAAAAATCATCAACTAGTTAACTTTCTCTACGGTACGTCTTGCTACAACTTTTATTTCTATTTCACGAAATTGTTAAAAAAAATCGGTTTTATGAGAGAAATTATTGTCAAATAAAACTGAGAATATTATTATTATTATTAATATTATTATTATTATCATTGTTGTTGTTGTTGTTGTTGTTTTCGTTGTCGGCATCGATGTTTATGAATCCATCTTTAAAAATGTCCAACACGTTTGGAAGGTTTTCTTCATTTTGAACTCTTTCTGTTGGCTTGAAGCTTATGAGAAAAATTAATATGATCGTAATTATAAAAGTTGTACGATTACTACTGCTGCTACTGCTACTGCTACTACTACTACTACTACTACTACTACTACTACTACTACTACTACTACTACTACTACTACTACTACTACTACTACTACTACTACTACTACTGCAACTACAACTGCTACTGTTGCTGCTAAAAAATGTGATAATTAAAAAAAACAAAATTAATTCTACGTAATAGCGACTAACCAATTAAAGTTAAGCTCTTTTTTAACGAGGTAGATGGCGGCTATGGTGATGGTGGCGAGAATTAGACAAGCAGCAAGAGACACGCCAACACCGATGCCAGCTTTCTGACCACTTGTTAATCCTTTTAATTTTTTAAAAATTACAAATATTTTGAAAATTTATAATCTGTGATAAATTGTGGATTGTGGACATTCGGTGGTGTAATGGTTTAAATACATGACACAGATGTTGCAGTCATAGGTGTGTGTTACGTCGATACACATGTGCTGAGTGTGTATGTTGTTTACAACTCCGAGAAATATTAAAGTATAGTTTGTAGTAAAATCTTCATGGAACAAAATTGGGTGTATAGAATTGTCATTAGAGCTGTTTATTTTAAATATGTTATTAAATGTGTATATATGGCTGTATGTATTTGTAAGTAATTAATAATGGTTGTGGAACTGCAGTAGAAACCTTGAGATTTGACAACTTCTGCAGTTTGAACTGTATTCAACGGTGGGTCTTGTAATATGTTCTCTAAATATCGATCAAGAAGATGATGTTTTGTTTTATTTAGAAATTAATCCAAATTTTCTGTTAATAAATTAGGCTATATTTTAAATAATTCAAAATACAGTGAAGAAATTATTTAAAAGTTCAAATTTGATAAGATAAAAAAGGTAGTAAAATATTTTTAAATAATATAGCACTTGAATTAGAAAAAGTTTAAGGAAAAAAGGAACTGCAGAGTAAAAAGATTTTACAACAGCGCCATGCCTTCCATGCAGACGACTGTGAAGTTTCCTCGGCAGGCTAAGTTCCTCCAAAAATTTTTCCTCTCCGCTGAACTTGCACTATCGACGACCAAGCAATCGTTCGTGTGGAAATGTAATGTTGGTGCCCCGTTCAGCCAGTTCCAATACATCAGTTCTTTGTCTTTTTAGTTGCACATTTCGTGATTAATAAAGTTGAAAATTTATATATTACCATCATAGCATTTTCTAAACAAATTGTTTCGGTTTTATGAAACTTGAAATAAATAAATAATTCAATAAGAGGTTTTACATTTAAAATTTGTTTGTTTAGCTATTTTAATTCTCTAGCAAAACAACTTTGTTAAGTTATGGAGTTTATGTTGAATAATTTATATAAAAATTTATCTTTTTAATTCAATTCATCAACTTTACAAGTCTTTAGGATATCTTAAAACGCTTTCACCAACCTGAACGAGCCCAGAAAAATCTGTCTCCAGCCAATCCTACCCAATAATCTCCAGCAGCCAGGGACCGAATCCATGAAGCATCCAAATTTTCATTAGAAACATCCTTCAAAATCTCATCCAGCACGGCTAACGTTCCATTGCGGTTGATGCATTCGTTCTGAGCATTGTACCACGTCATGTTTCTCCTACCATCTCCCAGCTTGAAGAAACACTCGCTGCTGTTTTTGCTCTTTTTTAAACAAGAACTGAAGTCTGTGAAATTTCAGGAGAAATATGTTTCTCATTTGCTTTTCCTAAATGTTATATTAATATATTTTACTTTATATATATGTTTTTATTCCAGCCAAAAATTTAGTAAAACATTGAAACAAATGACTAACTGTTTATTTGACAGAGAGCTTTGGTTTTATTTGCTCCGGCAGAAGTTGCATAGAGCTGGAATGAAAATCTGGATGAAGAGTTTACGCTTAGGTATCCGACATCTTCTGAATCAAATGGATTCGTTGGGTCTGACTGGAGGTTTTCCGTGTTGAAACTTTCTGTCGATGTTTTCATTATTTTATTTTTGAAAAACATTTTTTTAATTACAAAATACAAAAAATACTTTCATCAATAGTGCAAATTTCTCACTTTTTTCATCGCCAATCCAACTCCAGCCATTCAAAATTTTTGTATTCAACAGAATGTATTTGTAACTCAAGTCGTATTCCACTAAAAATTCATCCAACAAAGTTTTGACCGATAAATCGAAAATTTCAATCATCCAACCATGCATATTGTGCATTAGGCATGTTGTGTTAGCGCCATCTACGGTGTGCAATTTTGGATTATCCGTATATAGGCAGTATTTGTTGTTGCAGTATTTCGAGATGTTGTTCGACATGCTTATAACATTATTTGCCCGGTTTTGGAAAATTGTTAAGGTGATAAACAACTGGGTTAGGATTAGTTTGTCTAGCATTTTAAAGTTTGTCGTGTATTATTAACAAAAATTTTATAAAAAGAACGTTGAATATTATTTTCTTTTAAAACATTTTAATTTTAATTAATTTGATTTGACTTGTGATTTTTATGTAACATCTTACAATTTCCTATTTTATCAAAATTAAATACTTCAAATTATCTGAATCATTAATTTTTAATTCTAGACCTCCAAATTAGTTGAGTCTTATTGTTGATTGTAACAATTACGATTTTATATACATAATATTATACAACAGTTTCAAATCTATAAGCAACAGCACCGAATTTGATTGTAATAAGAGCAGGCAGACATAAAACATCTTAAATTAAATACTTCAAATTATCTGAATCATTAATTTTTAATTCTAGACCTCCAAAGTTAAGTCATATTGTTGATTGTAACAATTACGATTTTATATACATAATATTATACAACAGTTTCAAATCTATGAGCAACAACACTAAATTTGATTGTAATAAGAACAAGCAAGCATACAATGTATTTTTCTTTAATAAAAAGCATCATGAATATTCAATAACTTTGTGACTGAGCCTAACAATGACAACGGCTTATGAAGACGCTAGTAAAAAGCGTAAATTTTGATAGTTTGGAAAATTTCGGCTCTTCTTCAGTGATTATAATATGGCAATGTTTTTCTTTGTGATTAATTTTTTTATTATTTTAAAACAAAATTATAAATTATTCTTTCTCTATTTTGTAATATGCAAAATTATTCTGACGGAAATGACGTTCTTTTCAATGGTTTAATGAGTCACTGAATGTATTTTACGCTGAGTTTCTTCTAATCCCAATTTTGAAACAAGTATATAAATATAACTGCTTTAGCTCATTCCTTCATTAAATATATATATATCTTGAATAATGATATATAGATTTGGATAGATGATAAAAGATCTAATGTTCAAATGCGAACAATCCTTCTCTATGTCACTCTAAATATACTGAGTTATATTTTGTAATAACCTTGAATTTGTTATAATAATATCTTTATGAATAGACTATTTAAAAGTTGGATACATCAGCAATGTAACTAAAATGAAAAAATTTACGAAAATCATTTTTTTAGAAATTATAATAGAAATTTTATCAAATATTTTAAATATATTTTGTTTCTCTTTAATTATTTTAGAAAAAAAGCTTTAGAACATTACTGACTGCATATATTTTATTTTTCAACCAGCAAAAATTTACGGTATGGTTTTATCATGAAAAGTATAATAATTTTTCAATCCGAAAAAGTCAATTTAATTATTGTACAACTAAAGATATAATTGATTAAACAAATTTAATTCTTTCAATTATTAATATATGGATATAATATATAAATCTAACTCTAGAACAATTGACAAAGCAATAACAATTGTGAAAGCAATAAAAAACCACTTAGAGTCGCCATCTATGTTTAAAACAAAGCGATATTATAAAATATTAAAAGATTCAGGCTCTAACTAATACCTAAAATGGCTTTATTTACAAATAACATATCTAAAAGTACGAAAATAATCGTAATAATATTTATAATAACAATAATAAACTCATTTGTATAGCGCGCTAGACATAGTACATAGTTTAGTTAGACATTTATTCTCTGCTGTTACTATGGATACCATAAACTTCAACATTGTCATAGTTTTTTCTGCTTTCGTTGCTGTTGCTGAAGCTGCTGCTACTGTTGTTGTTGTTGGTGGTGGTTTTACTATTTTTGTCGTTGTTGTGGAAATCGAGGTCGGCATACACCAGCATGTTGTTGTTTGTTGATGCGTCGTTGTTGTTGTTGCTGCTTGTTGAGGCATGTATGGTTGCCGATCTGGTTATGTTGTTGTTAGTGTTGTTGTTGCTGTTGTTTATGTTGATGTTGTTGATGGCCGTTGCATACAAGATTTTATTTTCGCTTGAGGTTTTTTTAAAACTGTTGAAAAATTTAGAAAAATAAAATAATGTTTGTATAAGAACATTTTCGCGGTTTTAGTCACATATTACAGAACAAGTACAAACAGTAACTTAGCTAACTTTTTTTCAAAAATAATTTTTAAATGTCTAGCAAACATTTTGTTTTTGTGTTAAAATACAAAACTGTCCTCAAATTACATGCGTTTAAAAATTTTTATAATAAAAACAATGGAAATGTTGTTTCTAAAAAAACTTAAATACAACAATTGCTAGGACTAATTATTAGCCAAATTAATTCAACTACCACATTTTTTTCTTCCTCCACAAGCAGACAACCAGCACAACTACAGCCACCGACAACAACACAAACAACGACACTCCAACTCCAATTCCGATGGCCATAGAGTTGATGTTTTGTTGTTCACCCAGTTTTGCTGGCGTGATTTAGGATTTAAAGGATTTATGTAATATTTTAATTTTGAATAATGTATGACTTCGATCTAAATACAAAATATTTGATAAAGGTTGGTTACGAAAGTATGACATACTGCTGAAGCCGGGGTCCTTGGTGATGTTAACGTTAATTATTGCTGATGTTGTGCTAGGTGTCGTATAATTCCCAGATACAATAAGTGATTTTCCGGTGTTCAGAGATATATTTGGGTTTTCTGGAACAAATTAATAATACGTTATTTTTTGATGAATCAGGTTTTGTGGAAAATACCTTTCATGCACACAACAACGTATGAATATCTTGGACAATTCAGGTTCACCCAAACTTTCAGGTTGTAGATGACGGGGCATGAAAAACTCAAATTGAGATTTCTATCTCTCCATTGAGAGAAATTAACAAAACTGTCTGCAGACGCATTAACCAAATTAACTTTATTAAATTGACATTCGTATAAGAACATGTAACAAACTTGAGTGATCCCACATAAATTGTCCTCGGGCCAATCCAATCAAGTATTTATCAGCCACTAATGATTGCACCCACGTTTTATTGTAGCTATTCAAATCCATACCATCAAACACTGCCAATGTGCCATTCAACTTGATGCATTCATTTTGAGCTTCGTGCCAATACATTGGCTCTCTCAAAATTGGCAAATAACAAAAGTTTTTATACTGTAGACTCTCGCTCGTTTTGCAATTAGTCGTTTCTGTGCATGAGTTTATTAAAAAACAAATGAACAAATTATGAACTAACATTAGTTTTCATTCTATTACAATGATAGTTCTAGTTAAAAAATTGAAAAGATGCCAGTTTGGTTGTTTTAAAAACTAATAAATGTTTTTTTATTTAAACTTTTAAATTACTTTTTAAAATACTTTAAATTTTCTTGAATAATTATATATTTGCCTGAAAAATATGAAACAACACAAACTTAAAATTTGACAAATTGCTCTGTCACAAGTGTTTTCGTTTCCAGCACCCAAATATTCAACTTCGTCAGAATTTGGGCTTTTTAACATGTAAGAAACACTCCTAGTTTCATATTGATTTGTAATTGACGTCTGATTCAAAACTGAAACAATTTCAGTAACAATTTGAATATAATTGACAAAATTTATTGACTTTCGTGAAATAAACTGAACAAACGTGGCTGGTTGTTGATCCACATCCATCCTTGCGTGTTTCTTCTCATATTCAATGGAATATTTTTATCTTTAAAATTGTAAATATCGATAAATCGTTCCGTCAAATTTTGAAGCTCAGCATCGTACACCTCCAACAACCAAACACTCATGTTCCAGCCTGTACAAACACCTCTCATCTCATCAACACTTGTGTAGGAAGTTGATGTTCCATTGGAGTACAAGCAGTACCTATCGTTACATAATGACTTTAATTCTTTTCCATCACTTAACTCTGCATGTACATCAAACAAATTAAAACCGAAAATTAAAAAAATTAATTTCATGATATTTGATAAGAGAAACATTTTACAAAATTTCAAATTGAACAAGGAAGTGCTACAGATGTAACTAACATTCCCAACAGTTATATATCTCAAATGCCGATAACTATCTCACTTCATCAGCAAATCAAGAACGTGAGAAAGTTTACTTGAGAAACAAAGAAGCTCCATGCGCAAGCAGGCTATACAATGAATTCTATTTATATTCAGGAAAATTCAACTGTATGAAGGTTGGAAAATTTGTTTTAACGTGTTGTTCCTATTTATAACGAATGTTTACTGTCATTTCATGAATTTTAACTAAGCTCACATATTCTTAAAATTGAAGATTCTTGAAATCACGATTCAAAAATATAGTATGTGTCTCATAAATTAATAATATAATTGACAAAATTATTTGACTTTCGTGAAATAAACTGAACAAACGTGGCTGGTTGTTGATCCACATCCATCCTTGCGTGTTTCTTCTCATATTTATTTATTTATCTTTAAAATTGTATTTATCGATAAATCGTTCCACCAAATTTTGATGCTCAGCATCGTACACCTCCAACAACCAAACACCCATGTTCCACACTCCTCTCATCGCTTCAACACTTGTGTAGTAAGCTGGAGTTCCATCGGAGTACAAGCAGTACTATCGCTACATAATGACTTCAATTCTTTTCCATTTAGCTTCGCATTCACAGTTAACAAATTATAACTTAAAATAGTAGAAAATAGCTTCATAATATTTGGTTTCCTAAACATTTTAAAAATGTTCAATTCAAACAAAACATTGGGACATATGTTATTAACGCTCCTATATTTTTCTTTGTAATGATATGTTAAGTATCTCAATCGTTATCACGTTAAAACAATCGAGCCTAACTAAAAGCAGTCTGACAATGCGGCTGTTTAAACTCAGCAGCGAAAATTTTTATAATTAGCGCTTAAAAAGTGACGGGAAATTTTTTTAACGTAAGAATTGCTTCTAATTATATACAAATTTTTATTATTGTAATGTATATTATGGAATTGTGACATAAATTATAGAAATATTCAAAATTGGTTTATTTGTTCTTACTTTTCTCACTGAATAACTCAGAAGTATCACTAACTCCCACACACATCAATACACACAAACACACACACACACACACACACAAACACACACACACTCCTAGCACACTTTAATATGAGCTGGGATTCTCTTTTTTCTTTCAAACCCAGTTAGTGCTACAATGGCTCATAAAGTGAAAGCTCTGCCTAGTAAAGATCAACATAACATTTGTTTCAAATATTTGTAAAGTGTGCAAGTTCGTTTACAAAGTTAAATATCATTCAAAAAAGTGTTCCTCATAGGTAAATTTACAGTTTACTGTTTATATTTCAGCCATCTTGTAATCATTTTCAATAGGCTATTTCTGATTTCAATAGTCTTTTATTGATTTGCTCTATTGGTTTGTTCGTGAATGATCACACATTAAGAGTACAAATCATACGTTTTACATATTATCACAACCGATTGAACAAATTTACAATGTTTGAAAAAATGCAAAAACAAACTTCTGTTTTTAAAAAATAATATTCAATAATAAATATGTACAGATGAGTTCAAAAGTTAGAAATTATAAAGATTATTCCAAAAAATATTCAAGGAAATATAATTAAAGTTCGCAAAATTGTTTATCTGTGTTTCATTAAAACTTGTTTCACTGTTTAAATATCATAATCCAAAATATTATCATATTCGACATCCGTGTTTTTGTCATCGTGATTGTTGTCACAGATGTTAATGTTGTTGTTTTAGCGTTTGTTGCCGTTGTTGTTGTTTTTGCTGTTTTTGTGAAAATCAAGTTCTGCATACACTAGCTCGTCGGTGCTCTGTGAAATTGCGTACCTCGTATTGGTTCTGTTGTTGTTGTTTCTGCTGCTGCTTTTGACGACTGTTGCATATACCACTTTGCCTTCCTCTTGTTCATACTTAAAACTATGAATGTTGTAAAAATTTTGAGAAGTAGTACGTTTAAAAGTGCTTCTCAAAAATTCAAAAAAAAAAATTTTAACTACACAATTCAACAACTCCAATATTTTAATTCGTAGCAGTAAAATTAAAGTTGTATATCTCCATTATCCGAAACATTGTACCAACCATCCTATTTTATTTTTCCACAAGTAGACCACAACAGCTGCAGTAGCCACCAACACCAGAACCACAAACAGCGACAAACCGACACCGACTCCTATAGCAACTGCCTTGTTTTGTGGTCTGACTGATTTTACAGAAGCCAAAAACGTATTTTAAGATAATTTTTCAGATGAAACTTAAATGATTTTTTTTAAATTCAGAAAAATGATTAATTTTAAAATACAATAAATAATTATTATGAAAAAATTTGAGAAATTGTTTCTGTGAAAACAAACCGCTAGAATTCCTCTTCACCCCATCAGTAGATGCAACCGTCGAATCAAATTTGAAAGAACTTTTCGTGACAGAAGCAGTGTTAGGAACGTTTGTCGACATCATTGTCATCGTGGTTTTGGCTGGTGTTTTTTTTTTGTTAAAATAATTTTTATTCAGTTTTAAACTTAATTATTTATTTAGTTGTTTTCGACATACTTTTCATGCAAACGATAACGTATTGTTTCTTTTGACATTCCAAATTCAACCAATATTTCATATTGCTATTCAAGTCGGTGTAAATAAGAAAAATACAAGAATAAGAAAAATTAGGACACCTACCTAGCCACTGAGAGAATTTTACAAAACTGTCTGTTGTGGGGTTGATGAATTTACAATTCAAACATTTAAGAATCATTCTGCAAAAATAAAATAAATAACGAACTCGAGTGATCCCAAACATACTGGCCTCTCGACAATCCAACCCAGTATTTACCAGCCACAGTCCTAAATTATTAGAAGAATTAAATTCCGCCCCATCAAATACCGCCAACGTGCTATTCAATTTGATGCATTCATTATTAGCTTCGTACCAAGTCAAATTCCCTCTCTTTATTGCCCAGTAGCAAATGTTTTTATACCTTAGGCTTCTGTTTTTTTCACAGTCGAGTGATGCTGTTGTGGTGAATAATTTTAAATTTAGAAGTTTAAAATTTGTTACTTAAAACAATTACGCATTTTAAAGCGGAGAAATTGAACAGTTAATTTGCAATCAAATGATAAAATTGAACAGAACATCGATAAGGTTGAGAGCTATATTGCCGTGCAACTGAAATCGTTTTTAATAAAAATACATTTCGTAGAAATAATTACTAACCGACATTTTGGCAGATTGCATTATTGCTCTGAGCGTTTGAAGATTCAACATAATAATAAAATGTACTCTGAGGTGCTTGATTATAAACCAAATATGAAACTTGTGGTAGTAAAGCTTCGTTTTGGATTGAAGCCTGTCTTGAGGTTGGAACTTTCAATTGATAAAAATAAGCTGCAATAAATAATATATTTCAATGATATGTTAACAAGCAAGCTCAACATACATGGCTGGTTATTAATCCACGTCCAATCTCCAGCCTTTCTTCTCATGTTTAGAGCGATATATTTTAATAAATAAATCCTTCCATCAAATTTTGAAGCTCAGCATCGTACACCTCCAACAACCAACCCCTATATTCCAGCCTGAACAAACTCCTCTCATCTCATCAACACTTGAGTAAGAAGCTGGATTTCCATCGGAGTACAAGCAGTATCTACCGTTACATAACCACTTCAAGTCTTTTCCATTTATTTGCATACAACATAAAATGATTAAAAATGTTATCATGTTGCTAATCAACATCACAAACATTATCAAGTTTTACAAATATAAACTAGGAAGTAATGTTCTCGCCTGTAACTACTTAATGACGATCTTCATTCGTACTCTTGCTGAAGATCTTATTTAGAGTTAATTGCGTGAAGTAATTGCGTTGTAAGCGGGGTTCAAGTGCCGGTTTGAGGTTATAAATGTCGAAATCGACCAGGCAAACAATGACAGCTGGGAAGGTGATCATTTGTTATAATAGTTACTCATTCATTTATTCACTCACTCATTCTTTTATTAATTAATTAATTAATTCATTCATTCGTTCGTTCGTTCGTTCGTTCGTTTATTTATTTATTTACATGCTTTTATTAGGAAAAATGGCTCAGTTAATATGGCATTATGGTATAATTATGGTATGTAATAGCATTTTCTATTATAAAATAATTTTCCGTATCGAAATTCTTCATTAAAATCTTTATTCAAATTTTAAATATGGAGTTTTGGGAGAAAATTGGCTCTTAATGAATAAAATGAGAATTTTTAGAAACGTTTGAAACGTTGAAACACTTAATTTACGGTAGGAACAATGCATATTTCAGTCACTCAGCATTAAGTTATGTGTACAATTTTAATTAATTGCGTCTGAGTAGTTTATGTTCAATCACAACACAAGTTAATGTTTTAAAATTTTAATAAAGGAATTCAAAACTTTCCATGGAATTTTTATACATATTTTGCAATTATTATAAGTATACTTATAGATTTATAAATTAATTCGACTTAAAATCATTAAAACGCAGTTCAATTCTCTATAAAATTCAAAATAAATAATAAGTTTTTCCACATCAGTAACAAATATAAACGATCGATGAAACATCTAAATGGCGTAGAACGGGGGTGGGCAAACTATGGGCCACGGGCCGCACGCTCGGGTTGAAAAATTTGCTATTTATGTACATATGCGGCCCTTCAAAGGTAAAATAGATCTCAATGCGGCCCTCACAGCAAAAAGTTTGCCCATTACTGGCGTAGAATGTTGCCCATTAATGACTTAATGACTTAATCCCACCAGAGCTTTTTCAAGATTTAAGGGTTTTTTACGAATCTAAAAAACATTTTTGTCATAATTAACACACTATTATTTTTAATTAATTTAATAATTATTATTAGTTGTTGTTGTTATAGTGGAAGAAGTAATAGTAGTAGTAGTAGTTGTAGTTGTAGTAGTAGTAGTAGTAGCAACAGCAGCAGCAGCAGTAGTAGGTCGATAACGAATTATATATAGCTATCCGTGGATTTACTACTCTCTTCTCATAGACACACGTTTCATCTGTAGCAATAAATAAATAAATAAAATTATCATTAGTAACATTTCAACAAAAAATAACAACAAAACCAAAAGAAAGAAAAATATATTTGATTTAAAAAAATTATAATATATAAAAAAACGCGTCGATATGTTTAATGAAAACAAACAAAACCGTCATTTGACGTCATTTCGATATTTTCTGAATAAAAATTTCTCGTATTCATCGAACCAACAATATACATTTTTTTTGAATTTTTTAAAGTTTAAAGAATGTTTTAAATGAAATGTAATGAAATATGCATACGTACATAGGAATTAACCATTAACCAAGTATAAATTGGAAAACCGCGGGTCGCAAAATGCTGATAAATGCATGCATTTTATTATATCTGGCCCATCTGAAAGGTCACGTCTAAAATTGTACTATTATTTTACAAAACAAATATAAGTTTTTTAATTCAATTTTTTATTTAAATTTTGTTTTTTTTAAAATTTATTATTTGAATTAATGACCTTATATTGCTAGCTCAATGGGAGGATAAAGTCGTGTATGTGTGTGTGTGTGTGTGTGTGTGTGTGTGTGTGTGTGTGCATGTTTGTATAGCTTTATGTGGTTGAACGTGTGATATTCTATAAAAGTAAATTTTCGAATGCGATTATAAGAATGAGATTCTTCTCTATTTACAATAAAATGAGCAAAGCGCTTGCTTTTTTGTTATCAAGCACACATTAAACTTTTAATAACTTCTCAAGTTTAGATCCCGAATTCAAACACAATATCTAATATACATGCATGAATATTCAAATATTTAGCCTAAAATTTTCATGTAATGCTGGTCAGAAAAAATGAAAAAATTATTTTTTTTTTAAATTGAAATAAAATTTAAGTCGCGATTCATTTTTTTAAGGACAAGTAGAGGCTGTTATAAACTTACCTGTCGGCATGCCTGTGCGACCCGAGTGTAATAAGGACGATGAGTACTGCTACATTTACCTCACTCTGGGTAAGACGGACACAATTAACCATCTCGCCGATGCCGACGCTTTCTGCAAGAAAAAATTCAAATCAAGCTTCGTCCTTGAGCCGTACAATGAAAAAATGCATATTAAAACGAAGGAGTTTATAAAGAAGCAAAAAAACATACGACAAACATCCTTTCCTCTTAATATGGAGTTCCATACAAATCCAACAACCTTTCATAACTTGGAGGCCTTCAAAAAACCAGGTCGATTAAGATAAATTTACTGCAAGCATAGATCTGCTAAATATTAAAAGAATTCTACTTGACTGAAATCTTTTTTTTATAATTTTTAATTGCAATAAACTAATGCAATTTTTAAAAAAATTACAGAGCCCATTACGCATGCGAAATACGAAAGTTACAAAAATGAACCGTACGCCTACATGGCCATCAAGTTTACCGACAAAAGCTGGCAGATGGTGTCTGAAGACCACACGGAGCAGCACAGAATCCTTTGCAGATTGCCTCAAACTGCTGAAGATTGCTCGAAACCATTTAAAAGAAGGAAGAGAGGGCTCTCAAAAATTAGATTATATGATATAGAAACCCAATTGGCAAAGCAATTAATAATTAACAAAAGAGTTACAAATGAGAAATTTTCAGAACTTTTTAATAAGATTCGTGATATGATAGATAAGACAGTCAACGCTATGGTTTATAATTTAGCGCGTAAACCTAATGTGTTTGCGGGTCTAAGCGACGATGATTGGAAGGAGTATGGTGTAAATTACGTTAATTTCAATAGAGCCTTGCCTGATTTTAATCTCAGCTATATTATAATAGATGCGTTTTGGTCCAAATATTCAAAATTAGATGAGAAATTATTGGAGAATCTCTTAAAAACTGAAGAGAACAATCAGACGATTTTGAAGAAAGGTGAATTGAAACACTTTGGAATTAACGAGTCACTGACTCCAATGTATTTTGAGGCCGTGAAGGAAATCGCTTATTTGAATAAAAAAGAAATTTTCTTCAAAAGACTCATCACCAAAAGAGGATTCATTGATGATGCAATTAAAAATGTTTTAGACAAAGTTAAAAGCACTTTAATGAGCGGCGGTGTAGATATTTCGAAATTTTGTCTAATAATAAAACTTTTAGGAGAACCAGACGTAACAAATTCAACCCTGAGCACATTGGAAATAACGAGTGAACTTTTTGAAATTCTAAATAATGTTTATATTAAAATTAGGGGGTTTTTCGCTAAAGCGGACGAAGTGAAAGTTAAAGTAGCTGCTGTTTGTGATAAGATAAACTTAATAATTACCCCTCTGCTGGCGTTAAACTGGACTTCAGTTTTGAAAGGCGATTTTTGGACTAACGTTAAGAAAATGGTAGGCGATGACGGATGGAGAGGAATTTTCAGATTGATTTACGACAAAAGAAATGATTTATTTAAATTACTATTAAACAATACTGTGTTAAAGATGTACGGCATAGATATCAATGATTTGGATATCATCAAAAATGTCATTTCCAATTTAGAAAATGGAATAAAAAATCAAACGTTTAACGTGAATACATTAATATCTACAGTTAAAAAATTGAAAAATTTTGATTGGGCCAGACTCTTGGGAGATATAGACACTAAAGCGTTGATGGAAAATTTCAAAAAACTGAACATAAAAAAATTAGGAGTTATGATTGCAACATCCGGAAAATCAGTGATATTAAATATTACAGGTGAACTGCTGTCCAAGTACGGTCTAGATCCCAAAGATTTCAATCGGTACATTGAGGCTTTCAATACTATGAAAGAAAATCTCACCAACATGGAAATGAATTTTACCTCTCTTATTAGCACAGTGGCTAGAGGATTTAAAAAAAAAATATTTAATGCTCTATTAAGTGGTAAACTGAACGTTCATTTGGCAAAATTTGGTGACGTTATTCAAAAAGGCGGGTTGAATTATACTAGACTCAATCTTGATCCATCCAATATCAGAAATGACGAGTTGGCAAGCATAGGAATGGAGAGAGCCGAATGGGACCAAATATCGAACCGAATCAACGAAGAAGGAGACGATGTGAGAGGTGACATAAAACAGGACAAGGTGGTACATCGTGACAACGTAGGTAGCGATTGCATGGTTATATATTATGGGGTCACCTCGTGGTACGAAGCTCAGTCATTCTGCGTTAAAAAAGGCGGACGTATGATGGTTTTTAAGGAAGACCAAGATTTTGCTCTTTTGGACAAGCCTGAGTTGGGAAATGTTGCCGATTTGTCTTCCATGTGGACTGGAGCTACAAGAAATTATTGGACTTGGAAAAAAAATGGTTAAATAGTTTTTATTTTTCTAAAATTATTTGGTCTAAAATACACAAATCGTGTATATTTTTATATGTATCTATATATTTGGTATATTTATAGTTAAAACAAAAATTTTATTTTCAGCAATTAACATTCTACGTTTAGATCGTTCCCATTCTTTCATAAAAAGTGGAATAAAAAACTATTATTTCTCGTATATCAGAAATTTTGCTGAATAAAAAAAATTGATTGGCCCAAGATGAGAATAATAAATTTTTATCTCAATTATTAGATAAAATTAAAATAGTTTCGTGCTGGATAGCCTAAATATAAAACAAAATTTAATGAAATATATTTTAAAATTGGAAATAAGGATCGGCAGTTGTATGGACTACCTTCTCGGCGCTCACCACCTACTTGAAGGAAAACCATGCCTACTTCCAATTGCACCCTCTAACTAACAGTTGGATGTTATCGGCCAGATGGGAGAAAGCCTCCGTTGAGGAAGCTTTGGTTTGCCTCGTTCGTAAGTTTTCTAGGGTTTGCTGTCTGAATTATTTTGCGTTAACATTTACTTACAAGCAAATTCGTCGTAATTCTTATGGTTCAACAGTGATTTTAAGCTTCTAAACCTAAACTAAAGAAAATCATGGACACAAAACTAATTATCATTGATTTGTAAATCAGGAAACATTTACAAAAATTTTTGTTAAATGTGTTGAAAATTCAATTGCAATTAACTTGCTCAAAAAATTCTCTAGAACTCTCATTGACTCTTGTGTCAACTAAGATCTCTTCACCTCACCAATAAGCACACACACACACATTTATACACACACACACACACACACTACTACTACTACTACTACTACTACTACTACTACTACTACTACTACTACTACTGTAACTACTACTACTACAACACCCCCAAACATACATACAATTATAACGAGATAGTGTTTCACTGTGTTATTTTTTTTACATTTTGATTGGTATGCAATGGTTTACATGCTTAACTGTTGAATGTAACTGGGATTGGTTCCGTTTTGCTGCAAATTTTTTTGGTAACTGTTAAAAAAAACATTTTAATTGATTAGTAAACTGCAAACTTAATTTTAAAATTTTAAATTTGCTGATTCTAACGCAGTTTGACCAATGAAATAATGAGAATAGATTGTTATTGAAATTTTTCACAGATGCAACCGAGGCCTCCTTTTCACATGAAGCCATGTCAAACCGTTAGCTCGCATTTTTCGCATGTTCATAGTTTCTTTAATTCTGACCATCATTCTCAGTTGCTGTTGTAAATTTTAAAACTTTCGTCGGTACTGGAACAATTTTTTAATCATTATTAACATTTCAATTCATTGCAAACTATAAAATATAGCTAACATTATATACATATATTCAATAAAAATTTTTATTTACACAACAAAATGTTACTAATAAATAAATAAATTTTTATTTAGTTATCTTATAAAGAAGCTACATGTTTATGACTGCGCGATAAATACTGCACGACAATTTTTCCAAATATTTAAGCATTTAGTTTTTAATTTTTGCAGCTATCACGGTTGTCATCTGCCTTGTGGTAATTCTGTCCGTGCTCGCCCTAATCATCGGCGCTGCCTACTACAACCTGGTTTACAAGAAGTCAGTTATTTCTTTTTATGATTTCTAGATTTTCTACTTATTAGCAGTTGAAAAACCAGGATAGTCCCATTTTAAACATGTCCAAACTGGGAGGTGTAAAGACCCACGATCAACAAGAGTTTGGAGGAGGCCCTTAATTATAGTTTTTGATTTTTTTTCTGTCAAATCTTTCAAAATTTTATAAATATTTAGTTACAATTTTCTCTATTGAAGCCGGTGTTTTTAGCAAGTACTGATGGTAAAAACCCGCCGTAGTTAGGATATTTTTAATTTTATAGTAAAGGCTTCTTACTTTCTTGGTGGCCTGTCTGGCTTGTCTTCTCTAAATCTGGCCCTGATCTTGATTAAATGATTAAAATACTATTTTAAATCCATTTAAGAGTAGGAGTTTTTAATATTTTTATAATAAATTTTTCTGCAATTTCAATTCAATCTAAATACAGAAAATTACTAATAAACAAATTGCAGGAAATTCAAATCTGAAAATGCAACTGATAACAAGAAGGCCGAAGAACCAGTCGCCTCATAAATTTCGAAAGAAGATATTTCATTGGTTGCAATCGATTTTGATTTGACTTCATGATTGTAATATCCTACTGTTTGAACAAAATATGAATGCATTGTTGCTGTTAACAACTGTATTTTTCTAAACGTTATTAACTTTTTGGATATCTATTCTTTAATTTTAATTTTATACGTAAACGTTAAACATCGTTATACAACAGGGGTGGGCGAACTTTTTGCTGTGAGGGCCGCATTGAGAACTATTTTACCTTTGAAGGGCCGCATATGCACTTGAATAGCAAATTTTTTCAACCCGGGGGAAAATTTTTTCAAGGTTTGTGGCTCCTTTTTTGGTCATAATGTTTGGCTGATGACATTTCTTTTGGTCATCAAAGTCTCGCAGACTGCATAAAAAAGCTTCACGGGCCGTAGCTAGCCCACCCCTGTTGTTATATATATATAACTGTGCTATACATAAAACGCTGTTTTAAATACATAAGTACACTATATATAAAACATCATTTTACATACATTTGTACACTATATATAAAGTATCAGTACCCAAATTTGTACTGCACTCTTTGCGGAAAATTTTTAAAACATTTTTGAAAATATGCCAGGTAACTAACTATACTCACAATATATTGTACTTTTTACATACAAGTAAATTTTACTCAAGTGCATTAGACATTTATTATTATATACATTTATAAACTGCTGACTAACGTATTTTTTTGTTTTAAAACTATATGTGTTTAACATAAATACATGACACACGAGTACACGATAAATTAATAAGCATACTCACAGTACTTTACAATCAAATGTGAGTGTTTATTGCTCATATTCGAGTGATATATATTCACTATAATCGCCATTTAACGTTGTGCTGCTAGGACTGTAGTCTGTGTTGTCAGGATTGTTGTTGGGATAGCTGCTGGGATTGTTTTTAGGATTGTTGTTGGGATTGTTGTTGGAGTTGCTGTTGATAATGTGATTGTTGGGGTTGGTGTTGCTGGTTGTGTTGTGGTTGATTGTAGCAACTGTGTTGATTCTAGTGTAGGAGCCGTCGTCAAGTTCTCGCACATTCGTTGTCGTCATCGGAACATCTTGACCCACATCAATCCCAGATAGCGGTTTGATCGGTTTCCTAGTGTTTTTCTGGGTAGACCTTAAAAATTTTCAAATTTAACTTCACTAGAAAATGTAATTTTTTTTATGTTTTATGACCACGTCATCATAACATCAAATAAAAGTTTGTGATTGTTGAAGTTTAAATTACCTGATGTAACAAATAGTGATGACAATCAGCGATACCAACGTGATGCCAAAAAGAATGCCGATGACAACCAATGCAATTGTCAGCTGGATTTCTTTACTAGTACCTAGAATTTAGATTTTTGAGGAAAAATTTTTTAATTAAAAGTTTATAAATGAAGTAGCAATAATTTAATAAGAATTATGATTGAAAAGTATAGAAAGTAAAAAAATGAGTTTCTATAATTTTTACGGCATAATGGGACAACAATTAACCCTGGTTGGATAGCGAATTCTGATTTTCAACGTTTTGTTTCAACGTCGTGGTCTGCTCTTGCGATCCCGCCGCTAAATTTGGTAAAAATAATAGTCTGACATTTAAAAATCTTGAGGACAAAATTAAAAAGTCAGTAAAATAAAAAATAAAGTCAGTAAAATGAAAAATACTAGAAGGGTACTAAAAACACTAGTTTGGTTAATATGATACTAACTTTTCATGCAGATTGGTGTGTATGTGTATGAGCACGGCATGTTGAACCAAAGATTGCTGTCGCTTGTGTTCATGGCCGTACAAGGATACATTGGCGATACAAATTTACTTTTCCAATGAGTATAGCTGGCAAAACTGTCTAGTAGAAAAAAAATCAAATATGCTACTGGATTTATAAAATTTTTATTTGATAAATTTAAACTTCTAACTGGAGTAATCCCACATAAATCTTCCTCTCGACAATCCAACCCAGTAATTTCCGTCAGCTAGAGACTGTACCTTACTACTTTCCACCCCCTCTAATTGCACCCCGTCGAGAACGGCCAACGACCCACCCAGAAGGGTACACTGGTTCTCCGCTTCGTACCACGTAACCGGACCAACACCGCCCACAGGTCTGTAGCAATTTTCCTCGGCCAGTAGATCTCTGTCGTAAGCGCACCCATCGTCATCATTTGCTGCTGGTTTTTATTTTTACAGATTTTAATGACGTAGTTCTTGCTTTTGGGTTAATAAGCACATGAATAAATGTGTTTTAATTATAAAAATATAAAATCTATACAATAGTAGGTAGGTATATGTTATTGGATTGAGGCATATGACCCAATTGTCTTCAAAACGTAGATTTGATTTTCATACACTCGTATAACAACTGTTTCATATTAAAATAAGTAATTTTATTTACGAAATTTAATTTTCAGCTGAAATAATGCTAAATATAGCTAAAAATGTAAAAATAGTCGATACTTTGAATCTGGCAAATGGCTCCAGAGCAGGTAGAGTCTGGATCAGCGGCGTAATAACCCAAGAGGGAATTGTTTGAAAATTTTGTAACGTAGGCCACTTGGGATTTCGAACTGACGTTTTCGTTTTGAATGGACACTTTTGCTGATTTTAATCAATTTAAAAACTTTATAAAAGTTCAGAATAAAATTTTTTAATTCAATTCAACTTCAATTCAAGAACTCACCGGCCCTGTTATCAATCCATGTCCATCCAAGGCTAGAAAACTTCAAATTCAGCGGTATAAATTTATTATTCATCTGATTATTCTTCACAAATTGATTTACCAAATTCTGAATTCCAGAATCATGCACCTCCAGCAGCCAAAGACCCATGTTCAATTTTGTACAAAAATATTTCAACTCATCTACGCTGTTGTAGAGGTTCGAAGATAAGTCGGAGTATAAGCAGTATCTATCGTTGCATGCTGTTGCTAAAGAACTCTCGTTCACTGTATCTGATGAATAAACGTTTAAATTAAGAAACAAGTAACTTAAAATCAAAATTTTATTCATATTTTCAATTATTAAAATTATTTTAAATATAAACGTGACTTAATAGCTTAATATCTTTTGAATGAAATACGATTACATACTACGAATTTAGATTTGCACTTAACTTTTGTTATGTGACTAATCACTAGCAGATAAATTTAACCCAACGAACTAAACAATGGCAAGCATTGCAATAAAATCCCAACGTCATTACGTAGAATATACGAATCTATGAAGTTCTTAATGAATGAAAATTAGTTGTTTCTGAATGCACTTTGAAAACCATCTCACTTATGTAATTGTAAACATTCATAAGTAAATAACGCTATTCTTTACTTTATATGTGAGGAATACATTATAATTATTTAAAACCAATAAACGTCTTCTAGCAGTCTAAATATAATTGCGTCGCATTTTTGAAATCATTCAACTCAAATAAAAATCATATACACTCAAATAAAGTGCCACGGAAGCAGAGATATCAACGGGTTCTTGCATGGCTTCTTAACGCTAATAACTCAACTACGAATTTGTAAAAGTTTTTCCAATATGTTAGAGTTTCTGAAAGTTCTACATGACAGCTTATCCTCACTTATAATTACATACACTTCTATTAAGCAGAACGACTGCAATCTTTGTTAGACAGGTTTGGATAATAACATTTAAACAACATTTAACAACAAAATGTAACAACATTTTCAAGTGAGACATTAGATATAAAATGAAATTTTTTATAAAATATATAATTGATTTACTAATATTTTTGCTATTAAGTTTTATAAATTTAAAATTTTAAAACGATACTTTTTAAAATAAGCCCGTTTCAAAGTATTTTTTTTTTTCAAATTTTTTTCATTTGATAGTTTGTAATCAACACAAGTTTTGTGTTCAGATATCATTGTCTTGTTAAAACATTCGTAACTAACAAAAAGCATTCATAAATTGTACATTAAATTAAATATTTACATAAAATATAATAAAGTTTTCAAATAACAGAAAATAACTACCTTGAGCAAATGAAATACTATTAATTTGAAAAACCGAGAATTTATAAAAAATTTTGAAAGTAAAAAACTTCACACAAAGAGATCTGCTTAGTCTGACTTCAGAAAAAATCAAACCTTCAACAACAACAAAAAACGAAAAAAAATCAACAAAATATTTTAGTTAATTTTTTTTATTCTTCATTTGGTCTTTCAAACTCGAGATATTGGTATCCGTCATCATCTGGTGGATTATTGTTGATGGTGGTGGTGTTCATTTTGGTGTAAGAGTCATCTGGCCCTGGTGGTGAAAGGTTTCGTGATGTCATACCTAAATCTTGGGCTTTGTTGTATACAGGCGATGCTACGGGGTTTGTCTTCGATTTTCTTGATCTAAAAAGTTTTTTGCAAATTTTTTATGAATTTGTAAATAATTATTAAAAATTGATTTTATGCTTTTTTTAGATTTAAAAATTTCATCACAAACTTTCAATTAAAATTCGTTAATTTACAAATCAAATCAGTGTATAATTAATTAATTGACTATTAAGTATGTAGTATAAATTAAATTTACTTAATTTTTAATCAAAATAATCGTAAAATCATTAAAAAAAACCCTTACATGATGAAACAGATTCCAATTACCAAAAAAACAATCAATGAAATCCCAAACAAAATGGCCATGACTATCAGTGCTATCAGCAATTGTTTCTCCCTTGTTAAGCCTGTTGTAGTAGGAAAGGCTGCAAAAAAAGACAAAGTTTGTAAATAAATTAGTGTATTATAAATTTTTTCATATTTTTTTCCAATTGATTTCCATATCAACCTTTCATGCAAACGACTGTGAATGAATTCGTGAGATTCACGTTTTCCCAGTAACCAGCCTCCCACGTGTTTATGGCCGTAACAGGCAGTCCTGAGTTCGGGGACTTATCTTTCCAACGTGAAAAACTAAACATACTCTCTGCGTGGAATTCAAACGCATTATTAAAAATGAAAAATCAAAGTTATTTGGTATAGTAATTCAACGAACCATGAATTGTCTTATTAACTTCATTCATGACATACTTGATTGATCCCAGATGAAATATCCTTTCGACAGTCCAACCCAATAGCTTCCATCCCACAAGGATTTTAAGTGGGCAGGATTAATGTCATCTAGATCCACATTATCGAATACGGCCAAGTAACCCCCGTGTATTAGGCATTGGTTCTGTGCCTCGTACCAAGTCATTGCACCACCACCAACTGGTCGGTAGCACATCTCCTCAACCTCTATATCTCGGTCGTATATACAGCCACTGGCGTCTTTCACTGAATTTATAATTTTGTGTACACAAAACATTTTATTGTTTTAGAAAAATACTTAAATTTTATTATTTACTTACAAAAACTTTCAACGTGTCAAGACTTGGTAGTTTAATAAGGAGTTTGTTGATTAATAAAAAAATGACGTCATTTCCGCCAACTATTCCAAAGCACATACACATACACACTACATTCTCTGTCATTGTATTGTTTGTTTCATGGTTTACCTTTTATTTATTTCTTTTTTTTACTTTTTAATTGTAGAACCTGGTAGGGTAATTTGAACGTGTTGAGCAATGGGTGAGTTAATTCAGTGGCCATAGGCAGATTAGGGTCACTATTATCTTGTTTCTATTTTTTATGTGTTTCTCGTTTTCTGGTGAATTTTGTGTCCATTTCCAGATTGCGGATGCTGTTTTTACGTCTGTTCTTCATCCTCATTGTCACTAGATTTTGTTGATTCCGTTTCATATTCTTCAAAACTAATACTGGTGGTTTGTAAAGGAGTTAACGTATCTTCATCGGAATCAATTGACTCAATAACGCTAGAGATTTCACTTGTTTCTGAGTTGGCGTTGCCTTCGTTTGTCATCCATTTACTAATTTGTTCATTAGCCTCCTTGGCAGATAATCATTTTGACATAATCGCAACGTATTATATTTTTAAATAAACAAAGTAAAATAAATTGCATAAACAAGTTATAATTCACTCTTAAAAACATTTGCACATTTTTAATGCATTAAAATACTAAACAGAAGACCTAGGTTTTTTAGGCACTTTGGAAAAACTAACCTTGAACAAACAAATTACTAACACTGAATTTGACATATCGCTCCAGTCAGCATAAAGCTTGGATTGACAGCAATGTACCCGCTAAGTGAATTGTTTGAAAATTTCACAACGTATGCCACCTTTGCACCATATCCATCGTTCTGAACACTTCCCAGAGAGTTAAGAACTGAAATGTTTTTAATTTTCTCGTGATTGTTATTTGAAGTTCATTTTTTGGAAAAAAATTATACACCATACTAACAAAATATAACTTCAGAGAGGATAGTAAAAGAATAAAGACGTACGATTGTTGTTGATCCAAATCCATCCAAAAGAGATAGTTTCTTCTTTGTTCAATGCAATGTATCCGCCTTTAAAATTGTACCTCAATGTAAATTGATTGACCAGGAGTTGAACCTTAGCGCTGTACACCTCCAGCATCCAGGTTGTCACGTCCCACCGTCTGCAGACCTCTTCCATGGCTTCAATGTTGGTGTATGTTCGTGAAATGCCGTCCGAGTACAAGCAGTAATTCTCATCGCATAGAGATTTCATCGAGCTATTGTTTTGAGAATCTACAAATTTCAAACATACACAGAGTGACACGAAACAAAATATTATTGTTTTCATCATAATTGAAACTTTTTAATTAAATTATTATTTCAAACGTGCATTAATAGTTGACGAATATTATCAACAGAACTATGTGACGTTCGTAAGAGTTAAGAATTGACAATAGGCCAGCCAACAATGAATTGTGTGCGCTGAATTGACTGAAAACATTTATTCTTAGAGTAGTAAATTTTAAAGAATCGCACGAAACAATAAGAGCTTTCAAATATTTTACTGCGCAACTCGATGAAAAACAAGCTCGTGAAATTATTGAAATGTTAGAGATAGTTTTAAAAACATAAAGAACATTTAAAAATTAAAAAAAAAAATTTCTATGCAAATTTGAAAAGTCTCTTTATAAAAAAAACTAATATTATTAATTATAGTTGTATATCTTGATCAGTGATATAATTGTCTTTAACACCTAAATATTTCAATAGTTCGATAAGTGTTTTTCAATATAAGTTAATATGTAAAAACTTCCTACTGATAGTGAATAACATTAATAATGTTTGTTATTTAACAAATAATTTAAAAGCAAACAAGATCGTATTAATAATGTTGGATGATTAAGAAATAATTTAAAAAAAAAGATTAAATGACGCTATTGAGTGATTGGTAATGATTGGGCTCGTCGTAATCTCTAACACCATCATCACGGTTGTCATCATCGTCTTCCAGTATTGTAATGTAAGTGTGACTGGTTTTTGTCTCCTCCTGTTCATTTTTTGACACATCTCTTGGGTAATTTGTTGGAATTATTGGTTGTACATTCGCCTGTACACGTTTTTGTGTATTCGCATGTACACTTCTCGGAAAGTTGAAAGGTGGTATAGTTGTTTGTACATTTCTTCGAATGTCTGTTCGTTCTGCCGTTCGTTCACTTGTTCGTTCGTTTGTTCGTGGCGATGTTCGTGAAATTACTGACATTGGTACCTCTTGGTTTGCCACAGCTTTGGATTGGTGTCTCTTGTTCAGTCTATTTGTTTGATGAATAAAATAACTAATAAAATGAAAAAAGTATTTAATTTCAAATTTAATATTGCAAATTGAGTCAATTAAAAAACATAAAATGACAGTCAGCCAGCCTTATGATATAAAAAGCCATCCCGGCGATGATTGCCAAAGAAACGCCTATCAATATGCCCACCAGGATCAGAGCTGTCATCATATCTGTCGACGAAGTTGTGAAATAACCATTGGCTACTTTTCAGTTTCGAAGAAATTTAAATCAATATCGACTTCCTGTTTTATTAATTTCCAAAGACATCAAAAACGAACACAGTGTATGGGAATAAATGTGAATTCGCCCGTCACGTACATTGTATGTGAGGGGTAGAAATGTCCTTGCATTCAAACACAGTCACTACAAGAGCGTTTTGCCATCAGAATTTTATATAATATTTAATAATAAAAACAACTAAAATTTACTTTCACAAATTTATCATGAAACAAAATTTGAAAAAAATCATTTGAACTATAAACTTGAATTCAAAAATGAGCGAAAAGTCGAACTTTGATAAGAGTTAAATGTAGTGGCCATTGTCGTCGTTGTAGTAGTAGCCGTTGTAGTAGTTGTGGTTGCTTTTGTGGCTGTTGTAATCGTTGCTGTAGTCGTTTTCGTTGGCACAACAGGAGATGTGGTAGCTGGGGCTGAAACATCGTTGCAAGAAAATGTTTCATTTAATAGTGAAATTTCTGAACTTTTCATCAAGACATTTATTTTAGTCCTTACTATTGCAGCTCTGACATACGCAGAACCACTTAAAATGTTGCATATATATTATCAATATATCTTTGTCCTTTTAGAACGAGTTTAAATCATTTGAAATGGTGAATAATCACCATTCTAATAAAATTTATAAATTCTTTAACGATAAAATCTCGTTAAGAATGTTTGAACGTAGTTTATCAAGAATTATAAATCCTTTTAAGAATTTGAAAAAAGAACCTTCTTACATCGCAAACAAAACCATACCTTGATAAATCATTGTAGTTGTCGAGACTGTTGTTTTGGTGGAGGATGTGACTGGTTTTGTTGGTGAAGTCGTCGTTGTAGTTGATGAAGTGGTAGTTGGTGATGGCGTAGTAGTTGGTGGTATCGGTGGTTGCGTCAATAGGGGTGGTAGCGATGGTGGCGATGATGGTGGTAATGTCGATTTTGACGTTGTCGTTGTTGTTGTTGAAGTTAATGAGTCCAGTGTTATTGGTTGTTTTGATGTTGTTGTTGGGACTGGCTGATACTGTAAACTACCATTTGTGGTGACAGTAACTGGGGTAGTGGTATATTCTGATTGGGCATTGTTTGCATCTGCCAATATTTGTGAAATAATTTTTTATTAAATTGCGAATTTGAAAATCGTTTGAAAACAATAAAAATTAGCAAACTATCAAACTGATTATTTTAATTGTTGAAATATTTACTAACCTCCCATACAGACGACAACGAAAGCATTCGAACACTGTACAAAAACCCAATTGCTATTAATACTACCGCTTGAATCAACAGCAGGACACGCAGCATCTGAGTACGATGGGTCTCCATTCTTCCACAACGAGTAACTGACAAAATTTTCTGTCGAAACATCAAATTTTAATCAATTTTTCCTAAAAAAATTTTCAAAAAAACTCGAAAATGCCCAAACACAAACTTGAATATGCCCAAATGTACTGCCCTTTAGAAAGCCCAACCCAATAATTCCCATCAGCCAACGACTGAATCCAACTTTTGTTAACTTGTTTAAGATTTACTTGATCAAATACAGCCAGCGAGCCACCTAGTTTGAAGCAGAGATTTTCAGCTTCGAACCACGTCATCGTTGATGCAGTTGTGGATGTTGTTGTTGGTTTTTCCGCCTGTCTGTAGCAGGTGTTGTTGGAGGTGAGATCTGTCTGCATGCACTGGCTCAAGTCTGGGAAATAATGTGTTTGATTTTAAATTAGCGACATCATCTGTGACATCATCAGTGACATCATCAGTGACATCATCTGTGACATCATCAGTGACATCATCAGTGACATCATCAGTGACATCATCAATGACGTCATCGTCAAAGGCATCAACAACAAACTAAACCGTCACTTTTACTATAATCATCAATAGACTACTACTACTGCATTAATGCTTTTCTGTGTTCATGAGTTTGAAAACAATTTTAATATGTTAATTAATAAATTAAAGGGTTGAAATTAACAATGAAGAACCACATAAAAATTAGTTTAATTTCAATAAATAAACTTTTTTTTGTAAAAATCACGACCACGTATTTGACAAATGGCTCTTGAAAGATGACTGCTGCCAGGTTCAGCGGCAAAGTATCCAACCAGAGACCCATTTGAAACTTTTGTCAGGTATGCAACCTCGTGTGAAGATCTCTGATTTTTAATCGTGCCATCATCGTCTGAATCTAAAAAAATTTTAATTTAAAAGAAATGAATGGGTTTATTTTCCGATACAACCACATAATGGACACACACACACACACACAATACACACACATATACACAAACAGACACACAAACACACACACACACATACATGGTTTGTTGTCAATCCACTTCCATTCCTGACCAGATAACCTCATATTCAGTGGGATGTAGACAACACTACCGCTCAAATTATACACCGCAATAAAATCTTTCAACAAATTTTTGACACTATCATTGTAAACTTCCAACAGCCATAACTTATAACCGATACTATTCCCACTGGCAGGGCATAAATTCTGATAATCACTAAAATTAGTGAAATATTTTCTTTCCAAATCTGAATATAAGCAATAGCCACAGTAACACAATGATTTCGTTGGTAGAGTTCCATCTATATGCTTGACATTCATGATCATTAAATTAATTATACCGGAAATTATTATTAGAAATGACGTCATTATTAATCCTATTAGTAATGTGTAAGTTAATTCACTTAGTTTTTTTTTTGTCGAAGTTTGAAATTCGGTGAAACAAGCTATTAACGGATTATTAATTTAACCTTAAAAACATAACGAAACTTCGCGTGAAGGGATGAAAGTGATTTTCAAAAGTATTTAACGCTGTTGCAAAAATTAAGGACAAATTTCCGAAAGTAATAAATAAATGAATGAATGAATGAACGAACGAACGAATGAATGAACGGATGAAGAAATGAATAACACTGCAAAATGTTATACGAACATTAGGGACATAAATTTGATCAGAGAGTCATCTTAAAAATACTATTAATATTGTTATTATTATTCTTCTCCACCACATTATTATTTCCACGTTTATTAATATTATTATTATCAGTATTATGGTTATTATTATTTATATTATTATTGTTGTTGTTGCTGACAATCGTTATCACCATTACCTTCATCTTTACTACTATTTGTTCATAATGATAACGACATTGTTGTTGCTGCGGTTATTGTTGATATTATTATTATTATTATTATTATTATTATTATTTCCATTCAGATGTGATTTATAACAACTTTGTTGTTCATTAACTTAATGGTTGTTCACAAGCTGGTCTGGTCGATTTTATTTAATTTTTTTATTTCAATTTATATTTATTTATTTATTTAAAATCTATTTTATACTTATTTATTCATTTTTATATAACCAAAATTCTATTAACTGGTGAATACTATATTGAAATATTTAACTCTCTATAATCAAACTAATCTAAACTGCTTAAAAATGAGAGTTATTTCTTGTTAAACTCCATCAGAGCTGACCTTATCATCAATCACTGTTAGCCCATTTGAGATTAAAAGATGATTTGAAGTACTTTAAAAGATGCAATGTATAAAATTATGTGGATATTTGAAATGCTATATTCCAACGGAGACGTTACATGAGTTTTGTACGGGTGATCATATCATTTATAATTTTTTTTTAAAGATTTTAACGGCACTGCAGCTCCCAAGATGTTGGTATAATGTGCCAGTAATTTTAATCTTTTTTTCTTAATTTTTATTTTATTTATGTTTCTTTCATAATTATTTAGTTATTATTATTACATTTTCAAAATAAAAATGAATAAAAATAAAATATAAAAAACTTTCAAAAGGTTCTACGTGTACTATTCATGATAATAAATAAAACTATTAAATAAATTTTACACACGTAGGTAAGGTACTCATTCTATGATCTGTGAGTTATCTGTAAGTCAGAAGAAGGTAGAGATATCATTTCGCGGTGACCGGGTTCGATTACTGTCTGTCCAAAACTCAAAAACTTTTATATGCTGTGTGTGTGCGTTACGGTCTTTGTGGCTATAAAGTTTAATTATAACTATGTATGGAGTTATGAGTCTTAGTTGCATGATAAGGAACAAAAAACTAAGAAAGAAGGGAGAAACAGAGAGAGAGAGAGAGAGAGAGGAGAGAGAGAGAGAGAGAGAAAGAGAGAGAAAGAGAGAGAGAGAGAGAGAGAGAGAACTCACGCGCGTAATTATCCACAGCTGTTATTACGAAATACTAATAAACAAACAAAATTTAAATTGGAACATAACACCCAGCCAAAATTAACCATCGAACAATACACTACCACTGATTTTGTGAAATAATTAAATAATAATTAATAATAATAATAATCAAATAATTAAATAATGTGAAATAATAGGAACTTAAACACCACCTTAATTAATTCCAATTTAGTTATCTTTGTCTGCTGATTTCGTTTTAACATATTTGTAGATTTTTATATAAAAACACAAATTTGTATTCAGTCACTTTACTGGATTGTCTAATGCGATATTGATAATATGAATCATATTAAATGTTATTTAAATTTTCCAATTATAATCTACTACGAACATTTATAAATATCTATAAAATATTACCATTCAATTCCAACAATTAAGCTAGTAAAATTTTTTGATAAAACTACAATAAACATACACT